TAGAGCCGCGTCAGTTAGCGAGCGTTTACGGTAAGGGTTGGCCGAGCTCAGCCCGCCCCGGCCCCGCTGCGATAGCGCTTCAGGGGGGGACGGTGGCCCCCCGGGTGGCTCGGGCTCCTCAGGGTAGCAGGCAGGTTTGCTTTCGTGTAAGAGCAGCTTCCCGGATGGTCCAGGGGAAAAAAAAATAAAGCGAGAGAGGTTAAATACAAACCGCATCTCAAAATAGGCCTGAACTCTGAAGGCGTTTGGAGCTGCACTTCCTGCTTCTAGCAGCCCAAGGAAGAGATGAAAGATGCAGCTGAGCTAAAAGAAAAAAAAAAAAACAAAAACAACCAACCACCTAAAAGAAAAACAAACAAACCGAGTTAACTCTTTCTGCTGAAGGCAGAGGCCCAGCAGTGACACAGCTCACCAGGTCACCCCATGAGGCTGGGACGTGGCTCCAGGACCCCCTGTTCCTTCACACAGCAGCCCCATGGCTTGTAGCACGCTGCTGGCAAGGCCAGACTGAGATGGGGAGTGGGACCACTCCCTGGACACTGGGTTTTGAGGAGGAAAGCCCTGGAGCAAGCCAAGGGAAGGATGCTCCTGTTGTGTCAAATCTGGCCAAGAGACTTGGAAAGTAACCTGCAGAAAGGGAATCACAGAATCATAGAATACCAAGTTGGAAAGGGCCTCGAGGATCATCTGGCCCGAATTTTATTGTGAAAAATGGCATGTAGATAAGGTAGCCCAGCACTGTACAATCACAAAATGGTTTGGGTTGGAAGGGACCTTAAAGATCACCTAGTTTCAACACCCCTGCCACGGGCAGGGACACCTCCCACCAGACAAGGTCTAGTCATGGTCTAGTCCAACCACCTCCAGCTGAATCTTAAAAATACCCCTTTCCTTGGAGCAAACAAGGCCCTGTGTGCTCCAGGAGCTCAAGCAGCAGCAAGATTTCAAAATTCAGCACATTCATTAAAAAAAAAAAACAAAACAAAACAACCAATCCCAAGCAAAGCCCCAAAAACCCCAAACCCCAACCCCCCTGAAGCCGAAGCGCTGCAGAGCTGGGAAGTGGGGTTTGAGTTGGGAGGGTGAAGCTGGAGCCAAGTGTTAACTGCTGACCGACTTCTCGTAACCCAGAGACCCACTTCCCCCGGCCCCACGTGGGCCAGGCCCGGGCTGGAGGTGGGGACAGCCCGCCCTCACCAGCTCCACGCTGACAGAGCCGGAGCAACAGGATCTGCCTTACCAAAATTGCACCGGGCTGACAACATCCGGCCTTTCGTAAGGTGGCTTTGATGTTTGTTTACTCGCCGGTCCCCAGCACATGCTCCACACCAGCCCCGGGATGAATGGCAAGGGAAAGGGCTCCAACGTCCCTTTGATCTCCTCCAGGAGCAGTCGCCGCTGGAAACACCCCACGTGGAGGGGTGGATCCCAACTTTCCTGGGTGCTTTTCCTTCCTCCCACCCCGCAATAAAAGGGAGGTCTCCTGTCATGTCAAGTGGTTTGGTTTTATTTAAAACTGCATAAAAAAAATAAGATTTCTGAATTCCCCTGTACAATATGAACTATTAACAAAAAAAAAACAAAAAACCAAAAAAACACCAAAAACAAAACAACAACCCCGCCGGCTACACACTTGGTTACATGGAAAGACTCGACAGCTCAGCCAGCCCAGGCCAGCTCCCCCCTCCCCAGCCCCAAACAAGACATCCGTGGGGAAAAACCAAAAAAAACAACCCCCAACTCATCTGCAAACTGAGAACTGCACGTGGCAAGGAAACGACCAACAGCAACCAGGAACTATGTACACAGAGAGCTGGGGAACAGGCACCTCCGCCAGACACGCCACGGACCCGGGGACGGACACGGCACAGACACGGAGGGAGGACCCCCACGGAAAAATGGGGAGCTGGGAGGGGGGATCAGCAGCTGTAGAAGCAAGGCGCAGGTCGAAAACCCACGTGAATTATAAATAAATAAATAAGTTATGCTACCAGCTAGAACTCTTTATAAAAAAAAAAAAAAAATAAATTAGAAAAAAAAAAAAAAGAAAAAAAAAAGGAAAAACATTACTGCTATTAACAACTGTACATCCAGCTTTGCTCCTATAGAACTCTGTACACATTTACAGCTCTGTTGGTTTGCATTGTTTGTGCATTCATGAGGGCACAGGGAAGCAAAGAACCCCAGGAGACCCCTGTGAGGTGGAGGCACGGGGGGCGAGGCATCACCCGCGCCGCTCCCAGACGGCTTCTGACCCGGTGGAGGCTTTTGGAAAAGGAACTTAACACCCAGGCGAGTCTTGGAGCAGCAGCAGTGTAGGAAAATTCAAGTATTTCCTCCAGCACAGCCCAGATGGTAATGGAAGGCACTCGAGCACGGTGACAGCGGAGGAGAGACAGCCACTCGGCCACGCTACCTGCCCTCCCCCCCACGCCCAGGCAGTTTTTCCCCATTGAAGCTTTTCTCCCAATAAGGTCTCTGATCCTCTTGAGGTCCCGAATTCAGCAGGTCAGGAAGACACTTGAGAGCCTCCAAAAACAAAACACCTCCCAAAAACAAAAAACAACTTTTATGGACAAAAA